TTATTTGCTCAGCATACAGGTTGACTAAGTATGGTGAAAGAATATAACCCTGTTGCACACCTTTCTCAATTTTAAACCATTCAGTGTTCCCTTGGTCTGTTCGAACAACTGCCTCTTGATAACTAGATAATTAGTTGAAAGGTCCTGAACTCTTGCTTCTTTTTTCAGGCAATGCCCAGAGGGTTACCAGTGTATGAAAGCAGGAAGGAATCCAAACTATGGCTACACAAGCTTTGACACTTTTAGCTGGGCCTTCTTGGCACTCTTTCGCCTTATGACCCAGGACTATTGGGAAAATTTGTATCAATTGGTGAGTAATACTTTTCTTTTGAGTTGGGGACATTCCTATGTCAGAGACCTTAGAATGCATTTTCCTGCTTCTTTATATCATCTCTCTTTAAACCAATCCCACGGCAAAAGGGTTAGGAAGGCTGTCACTCAAGTTAGGGATTTCCTGTGACTAGAACTTGAGCCTAAAGATGGATTTGTTTGAGACTAGTAGAAAAATGATAAAATGTCTTACATTTTTCTCTTTTTTTTATTGTAGTAAATATATATATAACAAAGCATTTCCCATTTCAAAATTTTTACATGTAAAATTCAGTGACATTAATTATACTCATTATGTTGTTCAGTCATTACCATCATCTGTTTCCATATTTTTCTATCACCCTTAGCAGAAACTCAATGCTCTGTAAGCAATAAGTCTCTATAAACGTGCCTACTATAGATACTCTATATAAGTGGTATCATACAATATTTACTCTTTTGTGACCGATTTATTTCACTCAGCATAATGTTTTCAAGATCCATCCATGCAGTGGCTTATATCAGGATTTCAGTTCTCTTTATGGCTGGTAATAGTCCATTGCATATATGTGTCCCATTTGATTTATTCATTAATTTGTTGATGGATATTTAAACTTTTTTCACCTGTATTACTGCAGTGAATAGTCCTGCAATGAGCATAGTACAAATATCTGTGTTCCTGCTTTCAATTCTTTTGGGTATCTATCTAAACATGGAATTACTAGGTCATGTGGTAATTCGATGTTTTAACTTTTTGAGGAACCATCAAATTGTTTTCCACAGTTACTGTACCATTTTACAATCCTACCAGCAATGAATGAGTGCTCCAGTTTCTGTACGTCCTCCCCAGTATTATTTTCTGGGGGTTTTGTTTGTTTGTTTGTTTTTAACTATAGCCACTTTAGTGGGAATAAAGTGAGATCTCATTGTGTTTTTTATTTTTATTTCTGTAATGACAAGGAGCTCTGGTAGCGTAGTGGTTACGAATCGGGCTGCGAACCTTAAGGTCAGCGGTTTGAAACTACCAGCCGCTCCGCGGGAGAAAGATGAGGCTTTCTACTCCCGTAAGGATTTACACCCTCGGAAACCCTGTACAGGGTCGCTATGGGTCGGAACCAACTCTACGGCACTTAACAACAACAACAATAACTAATGACATTAAACATCGTTTCATGTGTTTGTTGGCTATTTGTATTTCTTCTTTGATGAAATATCATTTCAAGTCCTTTGTCCATTTTATTTATATGTGTTTTAGAACCAACAGAAGACATCAAGTATAATTCTTAACCCAGAGGATATTTTTCTTTAAACAAACAAACAAATGAACAAGATTTTTCTATCATAGGAAATATAGGGGCTATATGAAAACAGAAGGGGACACAACAAATGGAATGTTCTACTGACATTTGGTGTGAGGTCGTGGTAGAAAAGGCCATTCAACCACTGCAGACACTAAATGTTTTGCAGTTTGAAGAAGTGCCACATGTTGAAGGACTGTCCTGTGCAGAATGCTAACAGTCTTCCTACAGAAGAGCAGTAGCTCATGAGTTGTTTTCAGCCTGATTCATTTAATGCAATTGACTCCAAAAATGGTCCTTGTCTTTCCAGACCTTACGAGCAGCTGGGAAAACATACATGATCTTCTTTGTTTTGGTCATCTTTGTGGGTTCCTTCTATCTGGTGAACCTTATCTTGGCTGTGGTGGCCATGGCTTATGAAGAACAGAATCAGGCAACACTGGAAGAGGCAGAGCAAAAAGAGGCTGAGTTCAAAGCAATGTTGGAGCAACTTAAGAAGCAACAGGAAGAAGCACAGGTTGGTAATCAGGTCTTTGAAACACGCCTTCCTGCCAGAGAGCTGTGACAAAGGCCCCATCTGATTGCCTTTCCAAGTGACCCTTTATAGGCACATTGTCAACAGAAGTCATTGGTATGATTAAGGTAGTCCAAGTAACAACTGCAGAAGATTGGTTCAATTTTTCCATGTCTGAATGGCTAACTTGTTTGGTAATAAAATCTTTTGTTGATTTTCTCAATTGTTCTGTATTCAATTGTTATAATGGCTGGGGAGAGGAAAAGTAGCCAGAGAAAATTTTTATAGTACTTCAGATACACAGAGCCTTTTTATGAGGTAAACATTAGGATCCTCTTCAGTGAGTCTGTGTTCATGAAAAGTATTATTTCTAATTGGAAAGACAGCAAAACGTTAAAGTAAAATTTGAAAAACAAATTTGTGATCCTACCACGCTAATAGTTTACTTTCCAATCCTTATCCAAATACACTTTTTTTTTTTTTTTTTTTATGTTGTTGGACCCATAGTGTATTGTATGGTTTCTTAGCATTCATTTTCAGAGATGCCCAAAGGAAAGCATTTGGTAGCAAGAAGGCAGCCTTCTTGTCTGAGCTACTCAAGAGAATAAGCCCCCAGGTTCTTCCTATTTGAGTCCTACTCTGATCACTTAGAACTGTGTACCAAGGTCACCATTCAGGTCCACCCTCAGCCCCACCAAACTACCTGTCTTTGGAACAGAAAATAGTCTGCGCTGATCGGTTGGCTGTGCTCCAGATAATTGCTTCTAATCTGGTCTGCTGCTCTGTCTCCTTTTCTCCTTTTCCAGGCTGCTGCAATGGCCACTTCAGCAGGCACTGTCTCCGAAGATGCCATAGAAGAAGAAGGTGAAGATGGAGTAGGCTCTCCGCGAAGCTCATCAGAAATTTCTAAACTCAGTTCAAAGAGTGCCAAGGAAAGACGTAACAGGAGAAAAAAGAAGAAGCAAAAAGAACTTTCTGAAGGAGAGGAGAAAGGAGATCCTGAGAAGGTGTTTCCAGAATCAGAAGATGGTATGAGGAGAAAAGGCTTCCGGTTGCCTGACAACAGAATAGGGAGAAAATTTTCCATCATGAATCAGGTAAGTTCTTTGCATTGGGTCCAATAAGCTTAAGAATTTCATGTTTTCTTAATCCCACTGATCCTGATGTTCCCCTTTGGCCTTACATTTTACAGACCCAGTGTGCATTCTCAGCCCAGCCTCTCTACTTGTTCTTAGGAGGTAGCCTCACCGTCATTCAGCAGCGAAGTCTGTGCCACACCAGTGATGGCCAAGTTCTGAAACATTGGATAGAACTATTCGCTTTTAGCATCTGAGAATCAGAATTTAGCTCAAACACCTCTGTCTAAAAATTGCTTGTATAATTATAGGTTAAAAAGGGGAGAGGGAAGAAACCATGCAAATCTTTATTTGAGCATGGCAAGTTCTAGAATTATTCTAGCTAAACAGTGTCATACTGATAAATTAGCCTATAGTGGGTTGAAACATCAGTCTTACCCAACTTTGAGAAATGGAAAAGCTAAGAGAAAGAGAAGGGAGAGGACTTAGTGAGCATTTTATTACTATAAATTTCATCTAACAATAAGGACTCTTGAACTTAAAAAAGTTGCTACCACAATCCAATTGTTAGACCAATTCCCCATTTTCAAGAAACACTAAAGCATTTGTAGGTCCAGTTGTAGAATAGATTATAATTACTGCCAGTGGCAGTATATCAAATGTTTTTTCTTATTTCCCAGAGATAGCTCATTGTTTCTCTTCCCTGTGTTTCTCACCTGCCACTTCAGTCTTCTGGCAGTCCTGTTCATTTTACCTCAACAAAATCTCTCATGTCCATCCCTTTTTCAATTCCTATTAATTCTGTCCTAGCTCAGGCTTATATTATTTTACTCTGTTACAACTGTTCGCTGCAGTTTCATTTTCCTCTGGTCTTTCTCTCTCTCCTTTATATATTTTATATACTGTTGGCAGATCACATTGCCTATCATATGCTAAGGATTGTGTTAGGTCCTAGAGATTAAAAGGTCATTAAAACACTGTTCTTACCATCGAGAGCTTAGAGTATAGTGAGGCAGACAGATACATACTAAAATTATTAATATAATAGAGATATGCTGGGGGTGTTTTGGAGATCATAGGTGTATCCCAGCATAGAGGTTTAGCAGAGTTTTTCTGAAGAAGGTAAATTTCTGAATTAAGGCTTAAAGTATGAACAGTACTTAGTCAGGTAATGTATGTATGTGTTAAAGGGGGCACAGTAAGGCAGAGAGAAGAAAGCATGTCCAGTTTGAATTCATGGGTGGATAACTAAATAGAGAGATCTTTTAGACACACCGTCCAATTCTAGTTCACGAAAGAGGTCATGAGCAGAGAGGGATGGTTGAAATTTTGAGACGTGATGAGGTCACTCAAGGAGAATGTGTCAGGAAAAAGATCAGTAGGCCTAGGTTGGAACCATTAGGAGTCATGGACAGAGGAGATGCAGCTCATGAAAATAAACAAGTTAACAGTCTTAGAGCTGCTCAGAGAACCAAGAGATCAGTTAAGCAAGAGAGTAGAAGGGTTGGAGAAGAAAGGGAAGTGATGAATGTACTGAAAATTAACAGAGATACAAAATGAGATTATAATTAGAAATGGCAATATAGAAGACACTGATGACTTTAAAAAGGTGTTTCAGACCAGGGTCAGAGTGGATGCCATATTAAGTGGGATGTGGTGGAAACGAGTGTAGACTTGTTAGTGAAGCTTTTCAGAAGAGTATGGGCAGAAATAAGCATTTTTATAATCTGTTGGGGAAAGAGCCAGCAGAAGGGAGTGGGGACAGAAAATTGGGTAGAATAGAAATAGAACACAGTCTTGGATAATGTAAAAATAGGTGAAGTCTCTACCAAGAGACTTGTCTTGGTTTTTTTCTTGAAGCCTCAAGATAATTTTGTTAATTGTTGTTGTCAAGTGCCATCCAGTTGGTTCTGATTCCTAGTAACCCTGAACAGGGTTTCCAAGGAGTGGCTGGTGGGTTGGAACCTGCAACCTTGCAGTTAGCAGCCTGTCCAGTGCTTATCCTAGAGTGTCACACCAGAACTCCAACTTTGTAAATAGGGAGTAGGATGCTAAGGAAGATGACACTTGACAATTTCTACTCTTTCAATAATATGTTGTTGTTAAGTACCGTGGAATCGGTTCTGACTCATAGTGACCCTGCACAGGGTTTCCGAGGCTGTAAATCTTTATGGGAGCAGAAAGCCTCATCTTCTCTAGTTTCTAACTGCCGACCTAGAGGTTAGCAGCCCAATTTGTAACCACTACACTACCAGAGCTCCTAGTTGTTGTTGTTGTTAAGTGCCATCGAGTCGGTTCCGACCCATAGCGACCCTGTATAGGGTTTCCAAGGAGCGATTGATGAGCTTGAACCACTGACCTTGCAGTTCAAACGGCTTTGCAGTCTGGCTCATTAACCCACAGTGCCACACCAGGATTCCAGAGCTCCTAGTAGTAGGGCTCAATTAGTGTTCATGGAACTGATGTGTTAAGATGACCACCCAGAAACCTGACCTTGAAATTAAAAATCTTATTGAAGGGAATGAGAGGCTGAATAACAGGGCTTAAAGAAAATATTAAAGGTTTAGAACAATTATTAAGAAGAATGGGAAGGAAGTTCTCTTAATCATATTCATTCTACTTACTAATTAAATAATTATTGAAAATATGCACAGCAAACCCCATCCATACCAATCCAAAAATTTCTACATACACAGCTCAGTGACATTGATTACATTCTTGAAGTTGTCTAACTATTCTCACCTCCTTTTCCAAATGAATCCTTTCATTTTGATACAAGTCACTACCCCCTAAGTTTACTATCTGATCTTTCAACTTGATCCCTTGTAGCTAGTTCTTTAAAAGAGCATAGCTCTCAAGTTCCAACTCTTTAGAATAGTAGTCAGAGCACTCCCTCACTCCCCTAATACGGACACAATCTACCTTTGAGTTTTTGTTGCCTTGCCCCCTCAAGTACCCTATACTTAAGCCAGAATGAACTACTAGATATCATTCATGGTATTTGTTTTCTGTGCTCTGTGCTCCAAAACATCTTCTCTAAATACTCTATTTTCCTACCTCTGAATGTACACGTTATACTTAGTCTTCATATCCTTCTTTCAAGAAACTTTCCTAGGCTCCCCTAAACCCCATTTTTATGCCTAACTGGGAATTATAATTTCATATTTCCATTATATGAACCTCTTTATTTGTTGCTTTTTTACTCTACCTGGTATAATATTTATGTTCATATCATCTGTTCTCTCAGATAAGTCAAGATTTGCTTTACTCCTGGCTAACATTCAGATATTTGTTAAACAAATGAAAGGAGAAGTTTTAGAAATTGGATTTAACTCTTATGGTACCTTATATGGTCTGAGGCTATTTTTGTCTCACTTTGACCTCACCTTTCTCCTAGTTCACCTTCTTTTTATGGAAGGTATGATTACAGCTTTGTTGTAACTGAGACTCCTACCCGTCTTCAGAGCTATCACTGAGTTAGTTACTGAGTACCATAGTGCCGTGAACACACTGCTGTTGAATGGGCTCTGATTAATCAATAGGCTTTAGCAAAGACTTACACTGATTGTTCCCTAGCTCAAAAAATGAAAATGGCTTCTGGGATGCTTTGCATAAAAATGTTCATTACCTCTAATTTCCCCACCCCCCAGAATTGTACATTCCTAGAAGCCATGACTGATGGCCAGGATTTGTTTGTAAGCTCCATGATAGCAATATTCTTTGTGTCAGGAATGTCCTGCAATTTATGTGAATTTCTCTAAAAGAATGATTTAGGAGACTAAGTCCTAATGAGATTAACTAATTTATGTAAGGGTTATGTAGCTAGAGGTATTGAAACCCAGATTTTAACCCAGGTGTTGTTGTGCTCCTCGTAAGCACTGAAATCTATAACCACCCCCCTGCCTACAAACAGACATGTTGTTACTATTAAGTGCCATCGAGTAGGTCTCGACCCATAGCCACCCTGTAGAGCGTTTCGGAGGAGTGGCTGGTGGCCTTAAACCACCGCCCTTGCAGTCCAGTGCATTAACCCACAGTGCCATACCAGGACTCCTACATACATATATAGCCATTGATTCTGTTGGCTTAATAAGGAATGTGGCTTCAGTTTTCAGTGCATATTATTCAGGCACGTACCATTTTCCTTTGAGATCCCCTGAACATCTCCTACCAGTTTCTCTATAAGATTACTGCTGTATTTTTAGGGCATGTTTTTGTTGTTAGGTGCCATTGAGTCTGTTCCACTTTGTAGTGACCCTGTCTACAACACAGCAAAACACTGCCCTGGTCCTGTTCCTTCCTCACAATTATCATTGTGTTTGAGTCCATTTTTGCTGACACTATGCCAGGTCCACCTCATTGGGGGTCTTCCTCTTTTTCTCAAGCACAATGTCCTTCTCCAGGAACTGGTCTGTCCTGATGACATGTCTTAAGTATGAGAGACAGACTCTTGCCAACACTTAGAAGAACTCCAACTGTACTAGTAGCAGTTCTTCAACTTCTTGGTCTCAGGGCCTCTTTATAGCCCTAAAATGATTGAGGCCTCCAAAGAGCTTATTTTTTTTTTAATGTTTTAAATTTATTGTATTAGATACCATAATTACACATTTGTGAATATTTATTAATTCATTTTAAATTAATGATAAATACATTACATGTGTAATATAAATTGTATATTTTAATAAAATTTATTTCCCAAAATAAAGAATTTAATGAGAGAAAAAGTGGAATTGTTTCCTATTTTTTACAAATCTCTTTAATGTGTGGCTTAATAAAAAACAGCTGTAATATCATAGCTGCTTTTGCATTCAATCTGTTGCTTTTTTTTTTCAGTTGAAGTGGTTTAAGAAAACCCAGTTTCATACAGATAGGTATTTGGAAAAGGGAGGAATACTTTTATAGTGTTTTTATATAACTGTGGCTATTCCTTTTTTTTTTTTTTTTTTAATGTTTTTATTATGAATCGAGTGAAAGTTTACAGGGCAGATCATCAGTTTTACATTCAACAAATCATACACCTT